CATCAAGGCCAGGCTCATTGCCCCAAAACCCCAAAACCCCATAAATAAAATCAAATAGAATTATACAAATCTTAATAGTTTATGAAATATATCATGAAATATTACTAATCAATTATTCACTCAGTGGCCATATCTGTTATAATGTTTAGTATTAGGAGTAGTATTGTTTGTTTGAGTGTTGCTTCCAATATTTACTTGATCCTCATCTCTGTGATTCATACCACCTCCTCCAATATATTTATTATTTTCTTTAAGTTTTCCAATTGCCTAGGTCAATATATTATTGCCAACGGCATTAGACATACTCTTGCCCACCATATATCTTGTTGCACTTGTGCTATTGTGATGAGATTATCCAATACTTGATAACCCGATGTTGCTTTAAGATACCTAACCTGAGGGTGGAATATTAGTAGCATTTCCAAACAAGTACTTTCTGCTACCCTTGTTTTCAGTTCTTAGCTTCTCATTTTCTCTCAAAAGTTAGTCTTTTCTAACTTGAAGTTTTTCGACTTACTCTGTCAAATCAGATTTAATGCTCAAAAGATTTTCTTTTTCTAGTTGCCATTTAGCTCTTTCCTTCTCATATTCAAACATCAATGATGCTCTTCTGCTCTCACTCTCCTTCGCTTTTTGCTCATACTCATTAAGTTTTTATCTGTAGGCTTCTTTATCCTTATCTAATTGCCTTTGGTAATCTTGAACTCTTCTGTCTCTCTCGTTCTTTACCTCATCTAGCTCCATCAATAATCTTTTTTCGTTTTCTCCTAATTCAATTACTTTCTTTTCTAATGAGCCATACTCAGACATCTTTCCTCTAGCATCCATTTAAATCTGTTCATTCTTAAGCTTTACTTCATTTTCAAGTCTTTTTATTTTCTACTGACTTTCTTATGCTAGCTGTTAGTGGGTCTCAAGCATTTCCTTTATTTGATTCTTATATTTACCCTCTATAACTTTAATTAGAGATTGTTGATTATTCTCTAATTTGTCCTTGTCCATATTTCCTCGCTTTTAGAGTTGCTCAAGAGTTATTTCAAACTTCTTTTGAGATTCGTTTAAATCTCTCTTGTAAGTCTCTTTTTGAGTTTCTAAGAATTGGCATTTACCTTCCCATAGAGCTTTATCTCTATCATATGTAGATTGTAAATCTGAAAGTTCTCTTTCAAGATCTTGAACCTATTGCTTATATTTCAAAACATCCTCAGCATGTGCAGAGCCATAATAATATGCAGCACCTGCACTTGAGTCTAATTGTTGAATATGGTGATTTAAGGCTTAAATTTCTTCCTGGAATTGTTCTTCCATTTACCTCTTATCATCTTCAAGTCTATCAATCTATGCATTTAGTTAGGCAATCTTTTTTTCAAGTTCAGTATTTGACTTGGAGAGTGACATCTCAATTTCTTTTAAGGCTCTTCTCTTCTGCTCATATTTGTTTTCCCAAAGTTCTTTTTCACTTGTGATTCTTTCAATTTATGCTTAAGCTTCTTCTTGAATCTCAGCTCTGAATATTTCTATAAATTTATTACATACTAAATATCATACTGATTTTCTCATCGAAGAATCTCTGTGAATCATCTGTCTACTTCTGTAATTCTTCAATTTTTTTATTTTAAAATTCAATCTAAAATTTTTAATCTCATAATAACTTACTTGCTATTTAGAGAGAGCTTATTCTCTACCTAAGTCAAGTTTTTGCTTGATAGCATCATCTTGTGCCTCAACTAACTTCTTCTTTGTTAATTCTAATTTTTCAGAAAGCTGCTTCTTTTCTCTGTCTAAATAAGTCTTTGATTACTCAAAGTCATTTTTCTTTCTTTCAATGTCATCATTCAATCTTTCTAATCTATGTTGAATTTGTGCAATTTGCCTATCTTTTTCAAGATTTTCAATTTGAAGTTTATCTATCTTTTAATTGTACTCTTATCTTTATTGCTCGAAATGCTCAATTTGCTTTTCGAAGGCGCTATTCTTTCCATATTCAAGCAGTTCGATTCTTTCTCTACTTTCTCTGACCTATCTCTCTAAAGTTTCCATCATTTATTATTTTAGGCTTAATTCATGCTCCATTTATGTGACATAGTTTTGATGTCTAGCTTCATTTTCCCTAAGTTCATTCTAGAGACATTCAATTTCTTCATCTTTCTCTTGAAGCTCATCTCTCATTCTTAATTCTAATTCCTCTTAGAAGTGGGCGAGTCTTCTAGAATTTTTGTCTCTTTCCTCAGCAATTCTTTACTCGAGAGTCTCTTTTTCAATCTCATAGAAATTCTTTAATTAAGCAAGTGCCTCCTCAGATTTAGTTTACATCTCTTTCAACTCTAATTATGTTTGCTAAGTCTTATGTTCTATTTCATCTTCAAACCTTTAAACAGCTTATTTATATTTTTTATCATTTTCTTCAATGAGTTTTACTCTCTGTAGCTCTAATTACCTTACTTTTTCATTCTGCAGAATTTTTTGATTTTCGAGATCTTATAAATAAATTTTCAATTCATTATTTTCTCTCTCAGCATCTCCTTGATTTAACTTTAGGTTAAGTTCAAGATGAGTGATTTGCTCAACATATAACTCATTTTATCTTTTAAGTTCATTTAGCTCTTGTTAGTACTATTCAGTTGTCTTCTAAAGCTCATTTTAAAGGTTTTCAAGTTTTGATGGTGAAAGTTTTCTTCTTGAATCATCCTCTTGTGGATTATGCTTCATTGCTTACACAACTTGTTCATGTTGCTTGTAAGATTCCTCCAATTGATCTCTTAAATCTTAAAGTTACATCTCAAGGAATTAATATCTTTAATCCTTTATAGCATTTTCCTTTTTATATTCATGATCCTTTAGTTTAAGTTGCTCAATGAAATCTTTGACTTGGTTTTCTAATTCCTAGATTTAAGCAGTTTACTGGTCAATTTTCTCATCTTTATCTTTAATTTATTGACTTGTTTTTTGGTCAGTTTCTTTTTTAAGAGCTTAAACTGTAGCTTCTAACTACTTTGCTTAATCTTAACTCATTTATAAGTTATTTCTCAGTCCTGTTTCTTGGATTTAGAAGAATTCAGATTTTTCATCAAGTTAAGTTTGTGCAATTTTTAAAGCATTTTCAAGTTCTAAAGTTCTCTCCTTTTCATCTTCTAAACTAGATTAAAGAGACTTTAAATCTATTTCAAACTTTTATTGCATACTTCTAAGTTCAGTACTTAATCCAGATTATTTAGATTATCTTTCAGCAAGAAAATCTCTTTCTCTTAAAGATTTTTCTTGCAATGACTTTTCCAGAAATTCTACCTTTTATTCAAAAAGTGCTCTTTCCTTATCAACTTCTGATTCAACTTAAAGCAGATGTCTCTGCAATTATTGAATTTTCTCTTCAAAATCATCTTTTTATGATCTAAAGTCATCATACTAGGATGTTGTCTGATCTTTTAACTTTCTAATAGTATCTTTATACTCAGATTCCTCTTGTTCTTTTTGCTATTTTAATGAATCTAGCTATTCTCTGACGAATGACAAGTTAGCCTCAAGCTCAGATTTTTGAATCATTGTCTATCTTAGTTTTTCATCAAGTCTGTTCCTTTCATTTCTACTCTCTTCCTTCGCCTCTTTCAACTATTATTCCAATCTTTCTTTCGTTTACACATCAAGCTGTCTCTATAACTAGAAATCAGATTCTAATTTCTTATTCAAATAAAAGAGGGTATCATAGAGGAAAGTTGCTTTTGCTTCACTTATCAAGACTTATTTTTCATCAAAGTCAAAAGCATTCTAATCATAAACTTATTAAACTTCTCTTAAAGTTTGCTCTAATTAGATTGCATCAAATGGCTATTGAGTTCTTACTTGCTAGTCAAATTCAGTGAATAGCTGATTCAAAAGCTCACCAGCATAATTTCTGCACTCATATTAGTTTTGCTTTTGCATCTAAGAGGCTCTATCATCTAAGAACTTTGTTAACTCATTATTATATTCTGATAAAATTTCTTAATCCCCTTGTATTAGTCTTTAAATCATCTTCAAGCACTGCTATCTTTGATCAGCTAAGATATTGCATAGATCTTCATGATTCATAGGGAAATTTACAACATCACTGACTTCTTTTTCAAAGACATCCTTGCATTAATCAAGAGCCTTGCTAGCATTTTATCTGCAAATATAAGTCCAGCTTGATTAGATATTTGGAACACAACCCTCATTAATAGCTTTCACATATTATTCAACTATTGAAATCCATTGTACAGCAGATAGAACTTGATTATTAATTGTCTTAGGTTTTATTTAATTCAACACTTTTCTTCTTAAGAGCATTACTTATTCAACAAACTCTGCTCTTAACTCTTCAAGTTCCATTTATTCTAAATTTTACAATTCCTCTTCATTTGTTAAAGGTCTAATCATAGTGCAGCACTCTCTATCTTTAAAAAATCTCTTAAGATGCTTTCTGATATCATTTTTTGAATCTGAACCTTTTTCTTAAAGAGCTCTTTCAAGATAATCTTTTGAGTTAATATCATTTCCATTTTCATCGCAAAGTTGTAATGCGAAATCTCTTACAACCCACATAAAGGAGGGTAAGTATTGAATAAGCTCATCAATATCTTCATCTGTTTATTCAACCTCATTGCTTCTTGATTTGAATTAAATATGCTTAGTGAGATTAGTTACTAATGATAAATTAGAAAGGGCATTTTCATCAATAGAACCAACAGAATTATATAGGAAATAAGAAGATAGAAGCATTGCTAAACTAAAAATTCTCATATCATGGTTATTATCCTCATCTAATCCTCCAATTCCCTCGGAATCAACAACCAGCACATTGATTGGTTGACCATCAGGAGTGAATCCCTGGATTGGAGTACCCCAAATCCAGAGTCCTTTAGTACAAGGATTTATTGTTGGCCCAACGCCAAAACCTTTTTGTCTGTTTAATAGCATTCTATTTAAGAGGTAACTTTTACCGGTTCTATATTATCCAGCGACTGCTATTACTCCTACTGGTCCTTTAAGATTTAAGAACATCTCTTAGAGTTCCTGATTCACCTCAAATTCTGAAAATTTTTTAAAAACATCAAGAAAAGTTACTCTAGGTTTCGTTGTTGAAGGTTATTAGAGGTAGTGATTCTTCTACAAATTGCTTTTAATCTTGCGGATCAAGCTGAGAAACATCAAATGTACTCTCCATGTTAATTCAAATTTAAAATTTCAAGATTAATTTAAACTAACAACTATCCAATAATCGAAAAATTCAATCGTTGGGGTTTTGGGGTTTTGGGGAGATCGGAAGAGCACACGTCT